AAGCAGCAGCTTAAGTGACTCCAGATGACAGACACTTATGTGCATCTGGCTCTTTCAAGGGTTTGAGGGGGCAACAACTTTATGATGGGACAAGTAAACAATGCATTTCAGAATCTAAGGCAAGAGGGAAATACATAAATAAGAAAAGGGCAAAGGCTGGAATGAGCCTTGCACACACGAACAGCTTATTATAATGCATATGCATTTTCTTAACTAGGGTGTAAGGCGGCAAGGCCAGTCATCCTGTTTCCAACCTTTTTGGAACTGGGGCTACTGGTGAATATGGGGCACCTCCTTGTTAGATGAGCATTGGGATCCAAACACCTACAGCAGGTGTTTGTAACTGTTAAGCCATCGTTCTAAGCCCTATAATCTGCATTTTTTTTATTGTGTACTTTCTGAGTTTTATGCTTACTACGATTACAATAACACAGACTCTTCATTATAGAGTGATGGAGAGCACTTAGTGTTTTTGTAGAACATGGAAACTGAGGGATGAAGTAATAAGTTTATTTAAGGACTCAGGAGGATGACAAGTAACCTTAACACCTCCATTTACCTGTAATGAAATAACATAGGACACTGTTAGATGTATCTCAAAGGTGGAAATAATTCAACCTGTAGTTTGTCCAAAAGGGTCAATGAGTTCTAGATAGTTTTTCCTATCTTCATACATTTTTACAATTATTTTATGTATATGGGTGTTTTGCTTACATGTACGTCTGCATACCACATGTGTGCCTGGTACCCAAGAGGCCAGTAGAGGGCATCAGATCCCCTAAAACTGGAGTTAGAGATGGTTGTGAGATGTTTTGTGGGGGATGGGAATTGAACATGGGTCTTCCGACAGAGTTTATGTTCTTAAGGGAGTGCTATCTCTCCAGGCCCCTTGATACTTCACATTTTATTTTTTAAATATTTTTATTTATGTGCCTGTGTGAATGTATGCTATATGCCACTGAGGGCACTGGATTCCTTGGAGCTGGGGTTACAGGTGACTATCCAACGTGGATGCTAGAAACTGAGCTAGGGTCCTCTGGAAGAGCAGCACATACTCTTACCAACTGAGCCATTTCTCCAGTCCCTAGTCCTTGATATTTTCTGATTGAGTATAGAAAACGAGGAATGTATCAAGGCCTGACTTATTGAAGAAGATGTTTGGCTATTCTGTTTCCATCATTCCACAGAATCATAAAACCTGGCCATTTAGTCATTTATTTAACTGAATGATTCTCAAAGTGAGATATGAGAATAGACAGCAAAGCTATGTCACCTAGGGGAAAATTTTCTAGAAATATAGCTTTCCTCCAGATCCTTCTACTGGCATTCCTCACACAACTCCCCGAGGAGGCCTATTCTAATGTGGTTCATAGTGGGACTGTCAGAGTGGGGAGGACACTTTAAAAAAGGGAGGTCTACACTTACTCAAAATTTACTAGATGATTTGCATACGACAGCGCCGGCCTTTCGGTTATAAGTCTCTATGAGAAAAAGTGGTTACAAAGATCATATCTCAGAAGAGATAGGCCTCTAGAACGAAATGCCAAGGGAATTGATTTTTGTTAACATTGTTGCTAAATGCCTTAAACTTAACAGTGTGATCATTTGAAAGTACTCTGCAGTGTGAGGTTTAAGGCACACCGAGTCCTAATTAGTGTTTTAATAAGTGTGTTAGCACTGTCGTGTACCATTCTGGAATGTCACTTATGGTAAATTAAGGGACACTTTCCCTCCCTATCTTCCATTAGTATTTTAATGCTGGGAGGTGGGAAAAGGCTGATCCATATTCAATAGGAAAGGAGGGAAAACAATAACAAATTGGCATCTCTTCTGTGAATTGCCCCACAGGCCAAGCATTTTTATGTTCTTAATCATTATTAAATGACTTAACATGACACCCAGAGCCTGGCGAATGATTGCATCCCGACATGAGAACGAATTACAAATGAAATGAAAGATCAAGCTGTATTAGAGGACTGCCTCTGGGAAATGAAAATCTTTAATTCTCTTTTATTATTGACATTTATTTGGCTGCCATGAATAACAACACAGCAAAGAGATTCAGCTACGCTTGTGCACCGAATAGCTTATCCCAGGGCTCAGAACTGCATTAACATTTATCATGTTTGCTTTTGTCGCTGACACCACTGAACAGATTCTCTATCCATCTTGAATTTATCATGCATCGCAATATACTGCATCCTCTAAGTTCATTTTCATACGGCAAGAACAGCAAGATTAGCTAGTGTCTTGCCTCAAATAAATTCCTGATTATAAGCATTCTTAAGGGTGGTTTAATAGATTCAATAAAGCGTAAAGTAAGTTCAGAAAAAAAAATTCAGTTACAAGATAGGGAGGCTAAACTGCAGTCTGGAGAAAATTATGCAAATTGACAGTGAGGAAGACACGTGTATGATACGTGTTTCTGGCTACAGGAAGACTTAAAAAGAATGTCTTCACAAGGAGTAACCCAAAGGCTTCTAATGAATCTGGAAGTAGCATTCCATTTCCTGTAAGAAGCCTGCATGGTTTAAGACAGGAATGGTCCACACACTGTAAGAAGACAGTGATCTCATCTGTGTCATGCAGAGATGTTCTTTCATGGGTTAGTTCTTTTCTCACGAAAATTAACAGCATGTCTTTTCCTGTCACAGCAATGAAGGATTGTGCATTACCTGGTGCCTTTACTTACATGATCTTCCCTAATTTTTGAATCCCTCCTAGAATTAAAGGTTTAGTATTGATATTTCTCTATTTGGGAAAGTCACTTAACAAGGGTGGAATATGTTTCAAACATTTTTTAGTTTTTCAATAGTTTTCAGCATTGAAAATGTCAAATATATACATGAACAGGTATAACGGCACCATAATTCCCCCTGTATCCAGTGCCCAACTTCAACAGTCAACAATCAACTCCTGACCAGTTCATGGATTTCACTTAACTTTTCCATCCACTGACTTCTTTTAAAGCAAATCTTTTGTCTTTTGACAAGTCTACAACAAGAAGGTTGCCGGGTGGTGGTGGCGCACGCCTTTAATCCCAGCACTCGGGAGGCAGAGCCAGGCGGATCTCTGTGAGTTCGAGGCCAGCCTGGACTACCAAGTGAGTTCCAGGAAAGGCGCAAAGCTACACAGAGAAACCCTGTCTCGAAAAACCAAAAAAAAAAAAAAAAAAAAAAAAAAAAAAGAAGGTTAAGTAGATTATTTCTTGTGTCTCTCTTTACGCAAATCGGTCAATAATTTCATCAGTGACTCTTTCCAGGTTTTATATATTTACTTTGTTAAAAAGGTACTTCAGGGGCTGGAGAGATGGCTCAGCAGTTAAGAGCACTGACTGCTCATTCAGGGGACCCAGTTTCAATTCCCAGAACCCACGTGGCAGCTCACTACTGTCCGTAACTCCAAGATCCGACACCCTCACACAGACATACATGCAGGCAAAACACCAATGCACATCAAAGGAAATAATTATTTTTTTAAAAAGTTACTTCAGTAGATGTGGTGGTACACACTTACAATCTCAGCACTTGAAAGGCTGAGACAAGAAAACTGCTCCAAGTTTGAGCCCAGCCTGGGTACACAGAGATGACAAGGAGAGACTGGGCTAGTGAATGAGAAACTGTATCAAAAACTCACACACAAAAAATTACTTTCAGTAGGATGCCTTTCTTCAAGCTTTGTTGGTTTTTTTTAAAAGATTTATTTATTTATTATGGATACAGTGTTCTGTCTGCATGTATTTTTGCAGGCCAGAAGAGGGCGCCAGATCTCATTACAGATGGTTGTGAGCCACCATGTGGTTGCTGGGAATTGAACTCAGGACCTCTGGAAGAGCAGTCAGTGCTCTTAACCTCTGAGCCATCTCTCCAGCACTGCTTTGTTGATCTTTTATAAGTCAACATTATCCACAAACGAGAAGCATAATTATACTTTATATTTAGAATACATTCAACATTTTATGTATATTAATTTTATTTTGTAGATCTTTAAAGATTATGTTATATTCAGTGTTCAGCTGAGTACTGAAAAAACACATTGGTAATAATCATATTACTGCTTATAAAAATCATTAACTAACTGCTTAGATTTAAGATGAACCATTCAGACAGAATTAAAAGACTTATATTTAGCTTGAATAGGAGCTAAAATATAGCCTCATACTGAAAGATCTTAATTATTTTAACCAATAATGTTTGTTTATTAGATGAAATTCCTATTTAATATCTATGACTGCTATAAAAACAGACATGAGATTTTTCCTTCTTGAAAGAAAATCTGAAGTTATAATCAGCAACCTGGCTCTTTGGGAAAGGTGAGGCAGGAGGATTACAAATTCAAGATCAGTCTGGGCTACACAGGAACTGAAGGTCAGTGAAGGGTATTTAGTGAGACATTCTCTTAAGCTAAAAGGTTATATAAAATAAAATGGCTGGGGATATAACTCAACAATGGAGCACTTGCTTAGCATGCATAAAGCCCTAGATAAGATTCTCAGCATTGGGCTGGGTATGAGTCAGAGGTGGGTGAATTTCTGTGAGGTAGAGGCCAGCTTGGTGTACAGAGTGAGTTCCAAGATATCCAAGAATACATAGAGAGACTGCTTCAAAAAATGAAAATAAAAATAAATTCCTAGTATTGCAAAAACAAAACAAATCAACAACGGCAAGGGAAAAAAAGACAGAAGAGGAAACATTTCTGGATTTTACTTGCTCATAATTGAATAAATGCATTTTATTTTGATGCAAGTGTTTATATGTAAAATGTATTGTTTTTGAAAAGAAAGTATTTCTGGACTAAGAAAATTCCCCCAAACTTCAAAAGTAAACAAGCTACATCAATTGACTTTTCATAAATTATAATCTTGAAATTAGGAAAATCATTCCACAGGGGTTGAGGGAGGATTATCAAAGTCAAGCTGTACAAAGGACATGAGAGACAGAACACAGAATGCTGTCACCACTGATCTCTTTAACACCACATTAGCACACAGCTCCACGTACCTGTAGCCACGATAGTGTCATCTCTCCCTTGCGTGAAGATCACGGTCCGCTGCCTCTTGGAGTTCACCTTCGGAAGAGCCTGCGTCTTTCTGGCTACTTCTTTAATGTCTTTAGTCTATTAAGAAGAGGGAAAAAGTCACAATCAGTAGAGGAAGGGAAAATTTTCTTACCATGTTAACACTTTTGCTTCTGTTGAGGATCGACCAGGGAACATTTGAAAAGAAATTTTAACCACACGGAGAACAGCACATGAACTCCTGGGGAGCCTATCATGAGTCTGCCCAAACTTTACATTTATGATGGATCTTATTTCATCTTCACCTTCAATACCTGCCGCCATGCATTTTATTTCAAAGCAAATCTCAGGTGCTTCATTATTTAATTTATAAATGTGTAAATATGTTATCTCTGAAAGATAATGACTAACACACCACATACATAAGCATGAAATACTTTAAAACATTTTGCCTGACTTATGAAAGGACCCAGGTTCAGTACCCAGAACAAAAACAAACCCAAACTTCTTAAATCTCCTGCTACTCAGCACAGTGTTTTTGGGTGGGGACGTTGCTAGTTGGTCAAGTCGACTGCCTGGCCAGCACAAAGCCCCAGAAGTTCCCACCACAAGAAAAAAAGTCCTTATCACCAGTAAGTGATTATCAAGTCAAATTTCAAATTTAAGAGATTTTTAAAGACTTATTCATCGTTTTTGAGGCAGTGTCCCTGTGCGGCCCAGGCTGGCCTGAAGCTACCTGTATCTCCCTCTACAGGCTGAAATTACCAGTGGGAGCCATTATGCCCAAGTGAAGTGAGTTTTTCTTTCCTAAAATTTTTTTTTTGTTATTTTAAATGTTTACAGAATATGATTACAGCTGGGGCTACCCAGAGAAATCCTGTCTCAAAACAAACAAACAGCCAGGCAGTGGTGGCGCATGCCTTTAATCCCAGCACTTGGGAGGTAGAGGCAGGTGGATCTCTGTGAGTTTGAGGCCAGCCTGGTCTACAGAGTGAGTTCCAGGACAGGCTAATCAGAGCAGTTACTACCTGCTACATCATACTTTCCCATCTATCTCGACCCTTGTACTGTAATAAAGTTGTTATTCCCATTCTCAGACAAGAAAGAAAAAAGCTACACAGAGAAACCCCATCTCAAAAAACAAAAACAAAACAAACAAACAAAAGATAAAAAACAAACAAACAATACCCAACCAAAAACAAGCTATTTCTCAAAACCTTGATACTATTTTTCTTCTTCCTGCCTCCCTTCCCTCTCAAGACAGGGTCCCTCCATGTAGCCCTGGATGTCCTGTAACTTACTATGTAGACCAGGCTGGCCTCCAACTCACAGAGATCCGCCTGCCTCCCAAGTGCTGGGATTAAAGGCGTGAGCCACCACGCCTGGCTCTGATGCTGTTTTTCATATCATACAGATATAAAACTTTATATGGTAAACACTTTAACTTGAAATACAAAATTATGGAGCCAGGTGTAGAGACCCACACTTTGTAATACTAGTACCCTGGAAGTTGAGGCAGGACAGCACGTTCAATGCCAGCTTGGACTATCTAAGAGAGACAGAGAGGAAGGAAGAAGAAGGAAGAAAGACAAAAGGAAAGAAAGAAAGATGAAATAAAAAAAGAGGCATTAGTTTTAAAAGTCACGTTTTCAACCATCTTATTATCAATTAATTATGTGCTTTTGAGACAGGGTTTCATATACCTAGGGTGGCCTCAAACTCTCTATATAGTCGAAGTGGGGTTTGAACTGCTCTCCCGCCTTCACCTCTCAGGTGATTGCTCGGATTGCAGGCCTATATTACTTGCCCAGTTTATGTGGTGCTGGAATGGAACCCACGGCCTCACTTATTCTAAGCAAACTCTATACTGACTGAGCTACACCCCTTGTTCATCTTTCTGGCCGTCTTAGAGAAAATCCAGGACTTTCACTGGATGCACTTCTAATGCTGGCCATGGATTGGACATTTCAGGCAGTTGGCTTTATCACTGTGCAAAGTTTCACACGTTTAAGGAGAAAGAGACACACTCCAAAGGAGAAATGTTTAACTCTCTAAATGTAGGATATATAGGAAGAAAAAAAATGACATAAAAAAGAGGGAGACTTAGTAAGCAAAGCAGGAGTCATAAGAGCTTACAACAGTTACAGACAACACAAAAACATTGATATGTCAGAAAGTCTGACAGCCAGGCATGGTGGCATGCCTTTAATCGTAGCGCTTGGGAAGTGGAGGCAGGATAATGAGTCTGAAACTAGCCTGGGTTAGCTTGTCTGTGTTGCTTATTTTAAAAGAGAAGAAGCCTGATCTCTGATAAGAAAGTAAGTACTGACGGGCGGCACTGGAGAGACATGACGTACAACGGAGGCCCTGCTGGCTCATTCATGGCCACCAGAATGGGCACATGGCGCTAATCAGAGCAGTTACTACCTGCTACATCATACTTTCCCATCTATCTCGACCCTTGTACTATAATAAAGTTGTTATTCCCATTCTCAGACAAGAAAAAGAAAGAAAGAAAGAAAGAAAGAAAGAAAGAGAGAAAAATAAAGAAATTCCTTAAATTTTTGGAGATAGACTATTAGAAATAATTAACAGCTGAAAAGACCCAACATGCCATACACTAACAATCAATGTTTTCATTCTGTGAAATAATGCACATTTCATTAGAACGACTCATCTATATTAAGCCAATCTCCTTAGTACAAATGTATTTTACTACTAAAGGATTTCTATGATTACATACAGTTCAGATTTAATAAAGGGCAGAGGTATACGGAGAACAGTCTTATGCACTAGATATGTTTTGTAAAAATCAATTAGGAATACTTATTTATTTTGTGCGCATAGGGAGGTCAGAGAACAACTTGAAGGAGCCGGATCTTTCCTACCATGCAGGCTGTGGGCATCAGGCTCAGGCTGGCGGGTTTGGCAGGAATTGGCAGTAATGCCCACTGAGTCACCTTGCCTCGGTTTTTTTTTCATTTTTTGCGTTGAGTTTCTTGCTACACTGCCCAAACTGGTCTAAACTCCTAGATCTGAGTTATCCTTTTATTTCAGCCTCCAGAGTAGCTGAGACTCCAGGTACATGCCACTGGACACAAGCAAAAAAAAAAAAAAAAATTTTAACAAACGAAGTTTTCAAAATGGTATAAAGAATAATTTTTCAGAACTTATTTATTTTTATTTTATGTGCATTGGTGTTTTGCCTGTATGTGTATCTGTGTGAGGATATCAGATCTTGGAGTTACAGACAGTTGTGAGCTGCCATGTGGGTGTCGGGAATTGAACCCAAGTCCTCTGGAGGAGCAGTCAGTGTTCTTAACCCCTGTGTCATCTCTCCAGTCCTGTGAAGAATAAATCAATGGTAAGAGTCCATGATTTCTTTTTACCAGCTCTTTGGGAAGACACGGTTTACTGTCAGAGTTTGGTAATTTAATAAAAGAAATTTATGTCTCAAATTTAATCTCATAAAAGTGGCAATTCAAGATTGAAATAAACTTTTCAAATACAAGCCAGAAACTTTTCTAGATTTATGCAAGCTTTATTTTGATTGTATCCACATCCACAGTTCACATCAAATCTTTTTATTGCTCACTCTAGGATCACTGTTAGTATGCACCTAATCTAAGTATCTCTCTATGTATTCAGGAGCAACTGCTTGCTTGTAAGAAATGCTTTTCATGTAGTGTAAATCCTTTCTCAAAACCTCAATTTTTATCTTCACAACACTATAGATTGTAAGTCCACAGTATTCCCCCTCTTCATCTCCTTAGGTCCTTCTCCCTCACATGTAGGATCAGGTATCCTAACAGAAAGATGCAATTATGTAGACTTCAGAATATAGCAAACCTAGACTTACTGATAACCTTGAACAGGTTCATAAACATAAGACTCTATTTACTGACAAAACCCAAGGAAATACTCTACTAAAAGATATTGGAGCTGGGGGTGTAACTCAGTGGTAGAGTGCATGTTTGGCATACACAAAGTCCTGGGTTCAAATCTCCCTTTATGATACTTACCAGAAAAGGAAAAAAAACAGTAATTTTATAGTGGAGAGAATTGATAAACATCGCCTTAACTAATAATCAATTGATACTAAAATTCCTGGACAAAAGAGGATATTGCTATAGTCCCCAAAACTCTCCTCTACATTATTTTCCACTGTAATGGGAAGGAGTAAGTTACAAAGGATAAACCAATCGATACCACCTTAGCCCAGTGATCAAGGTTAACATCACCAGCAATAAGACTTTGTGACATCATTTAACCTCCCTGATATGATACTCTGAGAAGAGCACATCACTTCTGTGGTTTTCCTGTTAAAAATGTACAACGTCAACCCACTCAACACCAGACACACTCTAATAGAGAGAGGAACATTCTACAGAATGAAAGACCAGGACTTCTCAAGTATCGAGGAAGGACTGAAAAACTCTCATGGACTGGAAGCTGCTAACAATCCATGATACAAATGTAATGTGGGATCCCATGTTAGATTCTGGAACATGAAAAGGAAAAAACCAGCCTGAGGCAGCTAAGGGTGCTTGTTGCCAAGCCTAATGAGCTCAATCTTCAGAACCCACAAGGTAGAGGGAAAGAAATAACTTCCCAAAGCTGTTCTCTGAACTCTCTATGCACGTATGGATACTCCACACAAATCTAAGGAAAACAAGAGAAATCCCTAGCAAGATCAGAAAATCTATCCTGTTTTTGTTTTGCACTGGGTGTATGTTAATTTTCTGATTTTGGTCATTAAACTTTGGTTATTTAAGATGTTAACAGAAGCTGAGGAGTGGTGGCGCATGCCTTTAATCCCAGCACTCAGGAGGCAGAGGTAGGTGGATCTCTGTGAGTTCAAGGCCAGCCTGGGCTACAGAGTAAGTTCCAGGAAAGGCACAAAGTTACACAGAGGAAACCCTGTCTCGAACCCCCCTTTCAAAAAAAAGATGTTAATATTAGGGCTGGAGAGATGGCTCAGTGGTTAAGAGCACTGGCTATTCTCCCAGGGGACCTGGGTTAAATTCCCAGCAACCACATGGCAGCTCATAACTGTTCCAGGGTACTGACACCCTCTCACAGATATACACGCAGGCAAA